CCGGCCTCCTGGCCCCGCCGGCGCTGAAGGTCGTGGTGGAGCTGCAGGTTCAGGCGGTGAGGCTGCGGGCAGAGCAGGGCGCTCCGTCGGCAGGGAGGGAGGGAGGGAGGGAGGGAGTAGCGGCGGGTGGCCACGGGGACGTGGGGCTGTAGAAACTTGTCACCGTGTTTTTCCGGGACCTTGAGGTGCCGCGCCATACAACATAGCTACACAGACAGCAACAGGGCTGTATGTATATACAGGTGTGTACGTGTGCGTATACATATACTGCGTTGGGTATTTGCATACGTGTATCTGTGAACGCACCGTCAGTTCCAAGAGCTCCTGCGGAGCTGTTTTTTTAACAGCTTGGTTCTCGTCTTGGAGTGGAAGTTAACGTAAAATGAGGACATACCTTTGCAGTGGTAATAGCCCTGTGAAGATTAAAACGTGCCCTCGTTGTAGCTGCAGTTTCCCATCTGTGGGTTATTTTAGCTCTTCCTCCAGGTATAAAGCCTGATAGAACGTGCAAGAAAAAAGATAGATTAAATGTGAGGTTTTTCTTGCTGTTTGACGTTTATTTAATGACGGGATTACTGCCTATGTGCAAATGGATAATACCAAGCTGTTGCTCATAACAGATATTCTCATCATATGTAAGAAAATTGGTGATTTTCAGTCATTCAGTTCCTTGTAGGTATCGAGCGTCTCTCTTGTGAATAATGTTAAGGTCTGTGAAATCAGTCCCTGTTACATGAGATGATGAAAAAGTCAAAAATACAAAATGAGAGCATTCCCATTGATAGATCTTAGTATGGCACCCTTTGGAGCTTATTAGTAATAAAGCCAAGGACCTACTGAGTCCCTTCTAAGATAGAGGCCTCTCTATGTGGGTAAGACTGAACTAAGGAGCCTCATGTGAATGTATTTTCTTTCTTTCTTTACTTGTCCTGGTGTGTTTATGTCTGAGAAATGTGACATTTCTCTCAGTGTCTGCATCTTGGGTCAACAAAAAGAGACAGAATGACTTCTTTCTGTTTTCTCTCGTTTCATGAGAAGGGTACTTTGAAAATGTGACTTTTACTTGTTAGGTGCCCTTGAGCTAGAAAGTCTATTGCCTTAAGCCTTGTACAAGTTGCAATTCATGCATAATCTTACTTCCCATTACAACTGAGAGGTTTTTCTTGTTTCACATATATTTTTACATGGTGAGCTTAAGTCATAGGCCTGTTCCTGGAATGGAATAGGTTCCAACATTTCTTTAGGTTTTATGGTCTGGAGCTTTGCCAGCAGCAGTTATGAGAGGTCATCTCTCACGTGGACAGTTCTTACCTCATCTCACTAATGGCAGTAGTGTATATGAGAGTAATTGAATTCACTCTGTTTCAGATGTGATTGTTCTGGAAGCAATATGATACCTCAGTTCTAATATGGCTATCGCCTATTCAAGATTTTTGTCATTCCAGCAGACATGTTATGTAAATGAAGACCCAAATAAATGACAGACAAATGGCTTTTGTGACATTTTACATGCCATAACACCTGGAACTAGTGAGAACAGGAGTCTTCAGTGTGTTTTTCCTGCACTCTGCAGTATGCTCATTGGTTATGGTTCTGGTGAATGGTACTTTGTGTTTGAAAATTGTTTTTAAAAAATGATGCAAGACAGAATGGCTATGTCTGTTGACAATGAACACCATGCTGAAGCCACTGCAAAACAGGAGTAGATGGAAGTTTAGAGGAACAGTGTCTTTCTTACTGAATTCTTTCACTCTTCTTCATTCTTTTCCAAACTACTCTACCTGTCTCTTTCTCAAAAAGTCTTCGGGTCTAGTTCACAAGAGGCCTTTCCTTGAAGGACATGATTGCTTTCTTTTTTCCCCTGTGGTTTTTATTGACACACATGAAAAGTTACATAGCTAATACATCTGAAAGCTACAAAGTATAATTTTCATTAAGCTCTTATCTCAAGGGCAACACCAGGGGTACTCAAGGGCAACACAGCTCTGAACACACGCCTTTTCAGTCTCTCTGAGCCCATAGCCCTGTTCTGACCAGAAGTGGTTAATATAACCCACTTCTTTGGAAGAGTAGTTTCTTGTACATTTAGCTAGTCATAGGAGAATCATCAAAGTAATTATGATGAAGTAGATGCTGTTAGATAAGTTCATCTTTGTCTTACCTCACAGTAATGTGTTTTTGTGCCTGTGAAAACACTGATAGCATCTGAAGAAGGATGTTGGCACACTCAAAAGAAACAAAAAAGCAGCAAAGATTGATAAATAAGTGGGATGCAGCTGAAGGCAGCTTCTTTAGACAGGTAGAATGTCCAGCATGAATACCCTAATAAAATCATTGGTATCAAATGGGTCAGAATTGCACTCCAAGGCCTGAGAAGAGTACCTCTGAATAAGATGTAAATCATTGTAGTAAAATAGTCGAGAACTAAATGCAGGCAAGTGCATTTGAATTTGTTTCTTAAAAGATATTTCATAGATGATATCTTAATTCATTTTATTTTTAGAAGATATTTGGAAAATCTTTACATAATAATAGAAACATACAGGAGAACTTCCTCACACTTTCTCATTTGTCTATAATACCTGTGGAAGATTACCTGTGCTTTAAGGGGCTTGCAGTTAAGGTTTTTAAGTTTTTTCTTTTAGGATATGTTCTATAGGCTTGTCCAAGAATTTAAGTGTTTTCCAAACATAAATTTCCTAATCATACTCATGGTTCTGCTATTTTACAGTTCACAAAATTGTACTTCTAGTACTGCAAACATGGTCATTTTCCCCACAAAGTACAGACTGTTCTGAAGTTGATGCAGACATGGATGAATATGCAATTTCAGTGTTAAAGTATTTTTCTAAAAATATTGTGTAACTTTAAAAATGTAAATGACTATACAAATATATAGTATTAGTTTGATTTTGCTTAGTGGCAGCTTGACAAAGATAGGAGAATTATTCTGAATAGACATTAAAGTGTTCCTATGAATGCTATATTGTTAAATTATTTGGTGTTATAATGAATTTGTTTATTTCTTATTGTTTTCCTGCAGGTATTTAGAAGTGCCATAAATTCTGCTGCAGTAACTGAAATGGTAGGAAGTAAGTATGATTTTTTTAAATGCTTGAATAGTTGAATAACTAAAAATGGTGAGTGGGTGCATGTATTCAGAATGTCTGTTTGCTGGTCTGACTGTCTTTCTAAAGTATGTGATCTGGTACACATTATTCCCCTTGTATGTTGCTCTGAATTGAGCCATTTGAGTGTCAGCCTCTATGACCTCCCCTTGAGTCAATTACATGATTTTTCCTTTCCTAGGCCAGGCCTAAGTTCTGACACCTAATGTAACTCTAGGCTAACCTGACAAGTCTGCTTTTTATTTTTTCCATCAGCAATTCTTTATTTTGAAGTCTGTGACAAGTCATGAATTTAATGACTAGGCAGTCTTTTAGGAGCCAAAATTTTATTTATTGTTGGTAGGGGGGGCAGTGGGAGAGAAAAAAATTATAACAATGGTCTAACTACATTCTGTTTCATCATTGCAAGTAACCTTTGGCCAGACTTTTTCAGTCATACCTACAGGAGCAGGTGGTGTATTAATTTAAAAAGTTTTCATCCCTTAACTTTAATTAAGTTAGAATTACTTTGTCATTTCTGGGTCTCAGGTTTTTGTCCTTCTGGAACAAGCCACTTTTGCAAAGCCAGTGGATGGAGGGCTCATTTCTTTGCTTCTTCATTGCTACTGCTTCTGTTTTTGTCTTCTCTTTGCATAAGGGTAGGGGAAAATACAGTTTGAAGATACTGTAGTGTGACTTTTCTGTCTCTCTTGTAGAAGAAAAAGGAACTGCTAGAAATGCTTAATTCAAAGTTCAAGGCAAGTGAATAGATTTGTGGGTTTTTTTTTTTTCAGTTAAGGATCATTAGTTTCTTTTACGGTATTTGTCATGGCATTACCTGTATTGAAAGGCAAACTGGAAGTCTTTTTTCACACCATTTTGGAAAGCCTTGTTTGGGCCACCCTGATCCACCAGGAAGAGTAGTGTGCAAATGGAGCTGCTAATCAAGCAGTGAAGAGCTGTGTACCTTCTCTGTAGTTCAAAGGGTTTTACTTACCTTACTTCACAATATTGTCTTTATGAGGAAATGCTCTGGGGCAGTGCTAGTACCTCAAACATATATTTTGATCTTGCTGGCCTTGTGCACCATGTTTCCCTTCTTGCACAGTTTATACCTATTAAAAGAGCAGACTAAAACCAAATTACTGCTTTTCATAGCAAAAATTACAACTATTCTTTGCTGGTGAGTTTGCCACGAATCTTTTCTAGCTGCAGTGCCTTGTTTAGTCACTTTTGATTCTGCAGTTGCAATGAAGGACTTGAAGAGTTCTGATTATAAGGGGGATGTATATGCAGTGATTATGTTTTTAATCCTTTCCCTTTAACTGTTATTTTTAAGGGAATAGCTCCGTGAGAACAACCATTTCTACTGAAGCTTCCACTTGAGTACAGAAGGAAGAATTATGTAAGTATTTATGGTACGGATGTAGACCTTTTTTATACAATTTTATAACCTTTGATTGCATCTCTTTGAGTCTAGCTTTACTGTTGCCTTTGTATCTAAATACCTTAGGCAATAATGGTAGGTAGGATTTAAGGCTATTCTGGGGGTCTTAGATTTTGTTGTAACAAGAGCAAATCTGACTGCCTGAACCAAAGCCATTCATTTCTCAGTTTATCTGCTATCCCAGGTGCTCTTATTTCCTAATTATGAAGCGAGTCATTCCAGGAAAAGCCCACAAAACCAAATAACCCTTGCATTGCTTTCTACTGAAGGTAAGATTGAAGCAGATAATGTTCTCTTGATTTGATGGCATTTCACTACCTCCTGTCTTTTGCTGACAGTGGTTTATATCTGTCTATTACAAATGCTTCTCTTGGCATGCTTTTTCATAGTGAAGTCATGCTTCTTCAATTTATCATCACATCCTCTGATCCAGACTGGATTGCAACCAGTTAGTCCTTCTTTGAGAAAGTGCTACCAGTGCTTTCTGTGCTTTGTTTAGTGGCTATTAAATACAACAGGTTATCTATTAAATAATATCCTAACTCTGCCCCATAGAAGTCAGGATTTCAATATTTTAACCAAAGTTCTGAATTTTCTAAGCTCACAAATGTTTTCTGAAGTACTTCATCCTTCTCTGAGCTATGTGACAGCCAGGGGACAATCTTTTGGGACTGAGCCCTAGAAGAGAGGCTATACAACTGAGATAATGTGGAAGGAGATAGGATATATATGCCCATGCTGACTTCTGTCTGATTTTGACTTTGCCACACTCCAACACAGAATCACAGATTCTTCCACATTGTACATAAAAAGATCCAAATCCTGCTATCATATGGTCAATTCCTACTAGACTAGTTTCTACCTACAGCTTTGCAGGGGATTGCAAATGGCTTGTGCCTGTTTTTACTAAGGTAACTGTATGAAAGTGAATTTCTCTGCCAGGGCCAAAACAGAACAAAGAGTCAAAGATCCTCAAAATGAAGGAACTGAGCACTAACAGAAAGCAAGGCATCAGCTGAAAAGGGAAAAAAAAGCTATGTAAGGCATAAAAGGTCCTTAGAATCACAAACTTCTTCTCTAAACACTAGAGACCACTTCTGTAAACTCTGCAGAGAAAATCAGCAGCAGCCATCAAGACTGAGCCCAGGGTCTGCTGAGCACAAATCAGAAAATGAGAATAGGCCACCGTTTGTAGTCAGACAGAAAACTGCTGTACTGCATTGGGAAGGTGAATCTTTGTTAGTATTCATGTCAGCATTTTTCTTTATCCTGTCTTGAACTACTGAATCAGCAGAAGACTGAAGAAATTTAGCAACAAATTTGAAAATATAAACAAATATTTTGTTGTTTAGTATGTAACTGGCTTGTCAAACCCACTGACAGCTGGTGGAAATCAGGTTAGTCAGGTAACAACATTCAGGAAAGGAAAAGATATTAAAAACAAAGAATTCAAAGACACATTTAGACACTAAAAAAATATAATACATTTTACACGCCCACTTTCCTTTTGGACATAAACCAATCTATATCTTTTTAAACTTGGTAAGGAATCTGTGGGTGGTTTATTTCATATTTTTGAGACAGTCTTTCTACTTCATTCTGAAATCTCTGGGACTGGTTATAGTTACTGACAGGCCAGTAAACTGAGGTACCTGATGATATGGCAGTGATTCTCAGTCCCCATGGTTCTACGTAGATCCTTCAAAGTCTTTTGCTAGTCACTGAAGTTAGTGGATGGGTTTCTGGGGTTTTATTATGTCTGGTTTCATCTGGGATAGGATTAAATTTCTTCCTAATAGCTGGTACAGTGCCGTGTTTTGGATTCAGTGTAAGAATAATGTTGAAGACATGCTGATGCTTTAGTTGTTGCTAAGAAGCACTTATCCTGTGTTAAGGATCTGGCAGTGTTCTGCCAGTGAGCAGGTGCACAAGAAGCTGTGAGGGAGCGTGGCCAGGACAGGTGACCTGAACTATCCAGAGGGATATTCCATACCATAGGATGTCATGCCCAGTATATACTGGGAGGAGTTGGCTGGGGGGGAATCGCTGCTGCGGCATCGGTCAGCGGGTGGTGAGCAACTGCGTTGTGCATCACTTGTCTTTTCCTGGGTTTTCTCTCTCTTTTTGTTATATTCCTTTTCATTACTATTATTAATGTTATTGTTGTTACTATGATGATGATTATTCTAACAGTTTTGTTATTATTGTATTTAATTTTATTTTATTAAGTTGTTCTTATCTCAGCCTATGAATTTTACTTTTTTTTCAATTCTCCTTCCCAACCCGCTGAGAGAGGGGAGGAGTGAGCATGGTGCTTAGTTGCTGGCTGGGGTTAAACCACAGCACATCAATAAACCTTTGAGTTCAACCAGTAAGGAGTTCTCTCTGAATGCTTCAATGCATTCACAGTTCCTAGGAAAGTGTTCTTCTGACTATTTGCCTGGTGTAGAGAGAGGAAAACTGTGTTTTTCAGGTGATCAGTACTTCCAGGCTAAAGTGATAGCTATGTAGAGTAACTTAGGTTTACCTAAGTCCTGGTCTTTTATTCCACAGTCCTATTCCAGTGTGCATATGTTTTGCCAGACCTGTATTTAACATCCATATGTATTTTAAGTGTTTCCACAAATATGTTAATCTGTGGCAGGTTACATTCTTTAAATCCAGCTTTGCATGAGAATCATTACATCATTCAGCTTGAGATGGACCTCTGAAGGTCATCTAATCCAAACCCCACTTAAAACAGGTCTAATAAGGCCCTGTGTGGTTGAGTTTTGAGTATTTCCAAGTGCAGAGATTTCATAGCCTCTCTGTGCTGACCATGCTCCTTGCAAAAAAAGTTTTCCTTGTATCTAACTGCAACTTATACCATTTGTTCTTTTCCTTCCCCTAGGTGTCTCTGAAAAGAGCCTGGCTCAGTCTTCTCTGCATCCTTGCATTAGATAGTGATAGACAACAATAGAGTCTCAGAATAATGGAATTGTTTTGTTTGGAAGAGACCTCATGAAACCATCTAATCCAATCCCCCTGCTTGAGCAGGGGCAGGTAGGACCAATTGCCCGACCATGTCCAGTTGGGTGTTGAATGTCTTTGTTGATGAAGACTCCTCAACCTTCCTGGGCAATGTGTTTGACCAGCCTCACAGTAGAAAAGTGTTTTCCTGTGTTCAGGTGGAATTTCACAGTTTATAATTTATGCCCGTTGCCTCTTACCTTGTCTCTTGGCACCACTGCAAAGAGCTTGGCTCTGCAGTCTTCAGATATCTGTACACGTGAATAAGATCCCCCTGAGTCTTCTCTTTTCCAGGCTGAACGGTCACAGCTCTTTCAGCCTTTTCTCATATGAAAGATGCTCCAGTGCCCTAATCATCTTTGTGGCATTTTGCTAGACTAGGTCCATTAAGTCTATCTCTTTTTTGTACTGGAGAGCCCAGAACTGGACATAGTACTCCAGCCATGGCTTTACCAGAGCTGAGTACAGAGGAAAGATCACCTCCCTCCACATGATTGCAACGCCCTTCCTAATGCAGCCCAGGAGGCTGTTGGCTGCTTTGCCGTGAAGATGCATCACTAGCTCATGGTCAGCTTGTGTCAGTGTCTATAGTAGGTCCTTCTCCTTGGAGCGGATCTCCAGCCAGTCAGTCCACAGCAAATACTGGTGCCTGGGCTTATTCTTCCCCAGGCGCAGGACTTAGCATTCATCTTTGTTAATCTTCATGAGATTTCTCTCAGACATCCTTTTGTCTGTCTTGAGTTCTTCTGAATGGCAGTGAGTGCAACAGTCTTATGGATCAGCTGCTCCTCCCCATTTTGTACTGTCTGTGTACTCACTGAGGGTGCACTCTGGGTCCTTGGTGAAGATGTTAAACAGTACCGGCCCCCAGTATTGACCCCTGGGATATAACACTAATGTCTTGCCTCTAAGCCAGTGATCACAACCCTCTGGGCTAGGCTGTTCACAGAATCATTTAGGCTGGAAAAGACCTTGAAGTTCATCCAACCATTAACCAACACTGTTAGGGTATATAGGTTAATTAGTCCAACCATTAACCTAACACCGACAGTTCCCAACTACAACAGATCCCTCAGCGCTATGTCAGCCCGACTCTGAAACACCTCCAGGGATGGGGACTCCACCACATCCCTGGGCAGCCCATTCCAACGCCCAACAACCCCTTCTGGAAAGAAATACTTCCTAATAGCCAGTCTAAACCTTCCCTGGTGCAACTTGAGGCCGTTGCCTCTTGTCCTATCACTTCTTACTTGGTTCAAGAGACTCATCCCCAGCTCTTGGCAACCTCCTTTCAGGTAGCTGTAGAGGACAATAAGGTCTCCCCTCAGCCTCCTCTTCTCCAGACTAAACCCCCCCAGTTCTCTCAGCCGCTCCCCATACGACCTGTGCTCCAGACCCTGCACCAGCTTCGTTGCCCTTCTCTGGACACGCTTGAGTCATTCAATGTCCTTTTTGGAGTGAGGGGCCCAAAACTGAACACAGGAATCGAGGTGTGGCCTCCCCAGTGCCAGTACAGGGGTAAGATCCCTTCCCTGTCCCTGCTGGCCACGCTATTGCTGACACAAGCCAGGATGCCATTGGCCTTCTTGGCCCCCTGGGCACACTGCTGGCTCCTGTTCATCGGGCTGTCAGTCAACACCCCCAGGTCCCTCTCTGACTGGCAGCTCTCCAGCCACTCCTCCCCAAGCCTGTAGCGCTGCTGGGGGTTGTTGTGGCCCAAGGGCAGCCCCCGGCATTTGGCCTTATGGACACTTCCCCAGTTGGGCTCAGCCCATGGCTCCAGCCTGTCCAGGTCTCTCTGCAGAGCCTCCCTACCCTCGAGCACATCAACACTCCCACCCAACTTGGGGTCACCTGCAAACTGACTGAGGGTGCACTGGATCCCCTCGTCTAGATCATCAGTAAAGATGTTAAACAGGAGTGGCCCCAACACCAAGCCCTGGGGGACA